AAGGTTCCTGGGTTGCCTTAGCCAGTCTCCAGACCTCAATCCAACAAAACATTTTTGGAGGGAGCTTAAACTCTGTGTTGTTCAGCGACAGCCCCGAAACCTGACAGATCTAGAGGAGATCTGTGTGGAGGAGTGGGCCAAAATCCCTGTTGCAGTGTGTGCAAACCTGGTCAAGAACTACAGGAAACGTTTGACCTCTGTAATTGCAAACAAAGGTTTCTGTACCAAATATTAACACTGATTTTCTCAGGTGTTCAAATACTTATGTTCAGCAGTGCAAGACAAATAAATTCTTTAAAAATCATACAATGTGATTTCCTGAAATTTTTTTTAAATTCTGTCTCTCAGAGTGGGAATGCACCTACAATGTGAATTTCAGACCCCTCCATGATTTCTAAGTGGGAGAACTTGCTAAATCGCAGGGTGTTCAAATACTTCTGTTCCTCACTGTATGTTTATACTAATACTTTCATACTTGAGCAACATTTTGAAAACAGAGTATTTTTAAACTGTGGTGTTGCTACTTTTACTTAAAGGATCCGAGCACTTCTTACACCACTGGTATTTATAAAATGTTTGATTAGAGAACAGACAGGAGAAACTTCCCTGTCAGTCTTTTACGTTCACCATGTCTGAAATCGTCTGAAACATGATGAGAGATTTGCTGCTTCCTGTTTTCTATCAGTGAGCCATATTTAACAGTGAAACCCTTACAGTTCAAACATCACTGTCTCTGTTTGGGTGACTCAGACTGTTAATGAGGTTTTATCAGCAAATGAACAATGACATTCCAGGAACATTTGATCCATAAAAAGCACCAGGAATGACTCATCCTCACTGTGAGGCATTCAGGGACACGTTGAGTGGTGTTGATTAGACATTTTCGTGTGGAGTGCATGATCTGAGCATGTCCATTGGTCGCCTCAGCAGCCCAAGGTGTCTGACGGGTTTCTGTTGAAACTCGTCGACCTGAAGGTGGAAAGCAGAAAAACTGGAGTCCTGTTGCCACGTTCAGACTCGTCCTGAAGTCGGATGAATCAGACAACACTTGAGGTCTGAGGGGCCTCACCTGGCTTTGTTTACCTAGCACACTGAACTACAGAGGGAAGTTAGATTCTCAGTCTTACTTTTAACCTATGTGAGAAATGAGTATGAAAGTTTTTACACCTGTGTAAAGAGTACTTACCTGTTAATTGAAATCAAACAGGAAGTTCTAGTGTTTGTGATAGACTGAGGTTGGAGCTGTTGGATGATTAAACTGACATTGGACAAACAGCGCCACCTGCAGGAACACATACATAATTGAGACAGAGACGACTGTTTACTAATGTTGTTAAACTGAAACAGTTTTTGTTCATGTATGTCTTTCTTCTTCTTCAGCGCTGAAGAGTGTAAACAGGTGTGCTGGGCCATCAGAGAGTTCACCAGACTGTTCCGATAGCTGCAACCTTCACCCGACACCAGGTAACTGTTGACACCTGCAACAGTTCAGTTGTAAGGTGTTTCTGTTATTTTGTCCAGCCCATTTATATCTCTGAGGCTAAATAGCAGAACCCCCCCTCCCCCCAGTGGAGGGTTCACTGCAGCACTGTTGGTTCAGACTGACTCAGTTAGAGCTATAGTAGGTGTTCCTGATAAACTGACCCGTGATATCGTCCCATATCACAGGGTTGTTTGCGTTTAAAGAATATCTGTATTTAGGTTCGGTTTGTCTGGGAACCGACTAGTTTGGAAGCTTTATAGACTTGTATCCTGTGACTCGGGACCATCTCTGGTTCACACATCACCAAGTAACTTAACACCTGCTCACAACACCGGGTGACACTTTGGACCCCAACACAGGGGGTCTCGGCATGGCGACGCCCGGTAAACGTTCATCACTGACATGGTGTCCAGTAAATCAAGTCAACTATTTTGTCTTGTGACTTTGTCACACACCTGTCAATCAGGTGTGAAGCCATGTGCTAACATCTCCGAGCCGTCCTTACGTGCAGTGATCACAGCGGTAAAACTCATTTCAGAAGAGTCGTGCTTATTCATTGTTTCCATTGTTTTCTTCTTCAGGTTAAATGTTTTGTGGAACAACGTTCAGAGGTGACGGCAAAACGCTGCAACTGCAGACGAGATGAAGATGATGATGATGGAGGGACTTTGAATGTGAAACAGGATGGGTCACTCTGAAGAGCTGACAGTGAACACTGACCGGATAGAAGTGTCCTCCCCACCTGACCCCTGAGCTCACCTAAGGCTGGGCGGGAGGGGTTGGGTCCACCGGGTGTGCGGGGTCAGGACTGGGAGGAGTTCACTAAGTGAACTAATGTGGATTGGTTGTGTTGGATCTGTGACCAATGGAACGATGTGCCTGCACATTTTTTAAAGATTTATTTTTGAGACTTTGGTCAAGATGTTTGTGCCCGTGCCATAAAAAGAGCCAAAAGGTTTCCCATGATGCTCTTGGCTGAATGGCTGCCTGCGGAGACACAATGCTGGGGGATTTGGCATCACCTTTGACTTTTTAACTCTGGTTGCATTTTAGTTGTTTTTCAACAACCTTGAAAGTGTGAACTCTGGGTGGAGATGGAGGGACTGACAATGTGACATCGTCAGTGATGTAGCCTTGTTGTAAACAATAAACAACAACTGCTAAGAGCAAACTGGTGGTTCAGTGTCTTAATGCTGTACCTGTTAGTGACATGCGAGACTGTATCTCTGCATGCAGGGAGGCTCTAATTAATCAGTTCTACACTGGCCTGCCACTTGTATCTTTATCCTGAGATTTGCTGACAGCCCGTTAATACCAGTCCAACCAGTACACATGCTGCACTTGGTTTCCTGTAGTGAACCTTCACATTTTCTTCCAGTAAAAATCAGATAAAACTGTGTCCAGACTTAGTTTCTGGGATGAGATGTTATGGATCTGCTGATCACAAACTGGGAGCCGATCATCACGTCACCATCTGACATGACTTCAGGTGTCGTCTTCACTCTGTAATCTGACGCTGTCTGAATGTGAACAGGTGAAGTCACTGCTGCCTTCTGGGTAATATGATGTCATTATGTATGTCTTCTTGTGTTACCTTTTACCTGTGTAGACCACATCTGCTGAGACTCTGGTCAAACTGGTTTCTGCTTGTCACCTGATATTCAGGCCGGAACCGGCTGAGGGTCCAGCCCACTGCCAGAGAATCTGAACCCAAACTGAAACACTGATCTCATCCTGTCCTTCCTGTGGAATGAGTGTACAGGTGAATCTGTATGTGACAAATTGTTGCATTGCATTTTTATTTTTTTTATAATTTGTAAACTCTGTGTCCACTTGAAACATGAAACCTATTCCACAGCTAATGTTAGCATAAAAAAAAACTTTGTGCTGTTTGCCTGCAGCACAAGTGAAGATCACTGGTGCCCGATTCATATCCATAACATCCTGCTCTTTCCTCAGAGTTCACCGACCCTGGATAAATGCCAGGTGTGCTGCACTACTGCAGAAACTCATTGAGAATGAGTGCAGCGTAAACAGGCAGACATGTGACATGAACAAATACTGCAGCGGCGTTTACTGAAATCCTGAATAACACTCACTGTTCTCTTTGCCAGAGATTAACTCAGTTCACAGTTTCACTTCCTTTAAAATGGAGCTGAGATCGGCTGACGAGGCAGAGTTCCACCTTTCTCTGTTTCTTTCTCTGTTTTAACAAACTGGAGCACGTGTTAAGCATTTGAATGTTTTTTTTTTCTCTGAAATAATCCGTGGTTGCTCTCAGCTGTTCTGCACTTTATTCTAATTAATTGTGGTTGATTATTAATCATCTTTGACAGATTCTGTAGAAACAATCAGAGCAACATAGCCTGAACTCGTCAGAACGTCACAGTGCAATGGGTTAATTAAAGGACCAGTTCAGAGTTTATTACTGACACTGGGAGAGTACAGGGGACTCTGAACTGGAAGTGGATCTGCTGTAAGTCTCAGGTCCTCCTGGAGCTGATGAACAATCCCCTGTCAGTCCAGTAGTTTGCTGGACATTGAGGATCCAGGGCTGCTGGATGCGTTGATCAGGGGACATTGGGCGTCCAGGGGCCCTGGATGTGTTGGCTCTGTAGGAGCTTCTGCAGCTCCTTAAATTGCTCTACCGTCTGGTCCTTCACATCAGGGTTTGAGATCTGCAGCCGGATGCTGTCTGTGGACCAGCTGAGTTCTCCAGAGAACATCTCAGTCAGGATCCGAGCCACCACAGGAACCACCTGAGGACAAGAACCGCAAATTAAGTTCACAGGATGTTGCTTACAGAAAATATGGCGGTGCAGGTACTGTATTTGAACAGATGTGACATTTGAATATTTCGAGCGCCACCAGTGGTTGAGTGTTGCCATCACATGACCAGCCTGCTAACCTGTACAATGATGAGTTTCTTCTCTTTGGGTTTCTTGTCAGGCCAATCCTCCCCGAAACAGAAGTAGACCTCGAAGGGTGGAGGGTTTGGAGCTTCGCCTTTCTGGAACAGGATCAGTCCTGAGGACAGAGGTTTATTTTGAGATGTGGCTCAGATGTGTTGAAACTAAACTTTTAGTTTTCTCAAGTTTAAACTCTTCACCTTGCAGGAAGTTGTTGAGGCTGAACACTTTGGTCTTCTTCTCCCTCTCCATGGGGTTTGTTGGACCTTGTTCAGGCATGCCCGGTCCAGACCAGAACACCTTGCACTGACAGAGGCGAATAGCATAAATGTCCTGTTCCCAGATCTCCAGGATCAGACCTCGGTCCATCACGTCTAACAGGGCATCGGTGTAGAATCGCTGCTTCTGGTTTTGGATTTCAGATGTCCCCGGAAACCGGACTTGCTGCAAGGTGATGGGTCCAAACAGTTCCACTTGATCTGGGGTCGGCTCCAGGTGTCCATAGTACAACCGGCAGCCCTGAGGGTTACTGACGGTCAAAGAACCCATGGTCCGGCCCCGGTACTGGAACTTGAGGTCTAGATCCGTTACTACGGCAACACAGAAAAAGGAGACTGTTACTATGGCAACAGGGTCAGGACTTATGCCACGTGTAGTTTAAATGAGTGACACTAAATTGGAACTGAATCTAACTTTAATAACACACTGCATGTTGCAGTTGTGTTGGCACTGTTGAATAAATTGCTGTGACGAAAACATGTTTGGATCTTGTTTAACCACAGAACCCGCTGCATCGTTGACCACACTTTTACTGTGAGCCAACATGTGGGCGTGACTTCCAGGTGAAGTAACAGTCCAGAGCACAAATAAACCACTTTATGCTGCTGATACTGCACAGGATCAGTGAACAGCAGAGCTGCTCTTTGACATGTTAGTAACTGAATCCAGTTTCTGTTTCCTCTGCAGAATCTAAATGATATGATAATAATCACCTTTATTTGGCCAAGTATGTTACACACAAGGAATTTGTTTCCGGTACAGAACCAAGGCAGCCATCTGCAGTGCCACCTCAACCGATGGCTCTAACCATTGGGGGCAACTTGGGAGTTCAGTGTCCTGCCCTCCGGTTGGGAAACGACTGCTCTACCCACTGAAACAAAGTCGCCCCATAGTGATAGTGAGCCTGTGTTAACAGCAGGACCAAACAAAGACCCCCAGGGAGAGGATGGGGATCAGATCATCAGCTCCACAATGAACTGAGGACCAGCTCTTGGTAAAACAACACTCACGTGAACATGGAAGTACTGCCAGTCACTGAATGTCCCTACTTTTCATACTGGTTTGTTTTGATGGAGGAAAAAATTCACCAGGACGAAACCTGACACTGAACCTTTGAGATGATCTCTGTGTGACATGTTGGAGCTTCACATCATCGTAAATACAGACAAGACCTGCATCCATTTTCCGACACATATCCGGGCCGTGACTCTGCAGCTGCAGGCTGGGCAGCATGGTCCACACATCTCTCTGACCAGCCATGTCTTCCTGCTCCTCCCGGAGGACCCTGAGGTGTTCCCAGGTTTGATGGGATCTACAATCCCTCCAGTGTATTCTGGGTCTGCCTGGGCCTCCCATCTGTTGGTTGTGCTTAGAAAACCTCCAGGAGATTTTGATCAGATATGTTTCATGTGTTTATCTAAGATGTGTTTCAGGCTCACTGAGCTGCCTGAGGTCATTGCTCTTTGTTTAATTTGCTTTAGTGGACCCAGGGAGACTAGCCACCCCTGGGTGTAAGCTAATGTGGACCCAAATAAAGGATAAAGATGGTGAACCTCCTTACTTGGCATGAAGCAGCAGCAGCAGCAGCAGACCTCCTCCCAGATCTCTGAGCTGCTCAGCATGTCTCCCAAGTCCAGACACCCTGAGCCACCATCTTAATCTGTCAGTCACTACCCAGAGAGCAGGACCACATCTGAGGACTGGAACAGAGATCCACTGGTGAATCCAGAGCTTCACCTTCAGGACCAGCTCTCTCTGAACCACTACAGTCTGCTGACTGTGCACCAGTCCACCTATTGAGCTCGCCTCCATCTGACCCTCACTGGTCACCCAGATCCTGAGATGCAGACCTCTTTAATTGTGTACATTTTACTGTTATGTGGATTCAACTTTGAATGAAAACAAGTGCCATTTCTACTCATCATTACACATTTAATCACCCATGATGACAAAGTGAAACCATGGTCTGAAACTAATCAAAAATTGCTTCACACTGAACTGTAAACTGCCCTGCGCCTTCAGATCACGTTCATGAAAACCACAAACTGAATCTGTGACAGGAACAACCCCCCAGGAGTC